TTTCACTCATTTAAAAAAAAGTTCCGATTTTCTCCCAACAACAACAAATTAAAACAGCATGTACCTTTCTTTGTGTTTTATGTTTAATGTTTAAAATAAGAATAAAAGGTCAGAAAATTAGCCAGAAAGGATGTTTAATACACAGAGTTTGGTGAGACACGTACAGTTCTGGCTTTGAAGACAGGGAAGGGCTCATATCCCAGCCCTGTTAATTCTTAGCTACGATTTTTTCCTTCTAACCTTTACTTTTTCCTGTGATGAATATTAGCTGGAAATAAGGTAGGCTAATTCATACTTTATACTATTTCAAAAACAGAAGGAAAAATCTGCAAGAGACAAAGGCCTAAGGATTTTTAACATATTAAACTCCAGAGTTTCAGAAATCTTAATTATTTTCTTGAAAACAGAAAAGAAAGCCAACGTTTACTTAAATAATTATTGATCACACTTGGATTTCATGGTTAATTTACTGGTACACCTGTGTTTTCATTTGTCTCAAATTGCCTCAAAAACCCATGGATGTTTTACCACATTTATTATAGATCATAGCTAAATAATTCATATGAGTTGAGAAATAGTGTTTTGTAGAAAATACATATCTAGTCTCCTCTTGGGGGTGGTTAAAATGTAAATTAGAGCAAGCCATCTCTCTGTGCTATACCATAAAACAGCTTTACACCTAACTTTAAATAAAAACCGAGGTCCTGGCACTGACTTACACGTAGGAAGGTCATTCAAGTCAGTCGGCCCAGAACATTCCCAGGCAATGCCTGTTATTTCAGCATAATTACTAGCAGTTTGCCTTTCATCTCCTAAATTGTCTAAATTGACGGTAAGGCATGGTCACCCTCCTTGTGAGGCATTCTGTGATCCAGCCCCTGCCGTCAGCCTCAGGTCTCAGCTTCCCTTCCACCCGCGCTGCTTCTCCTCGGGGGCGCAGGTGTTCCGGTGATTCCTCGCACAGACCAGGCAGGGCCCACCCCCGGGCCTTTGCACCCGACTCCCTCGAGAATGCTTTTCCCTCCATAGCTGTAGGGCTCCCTCCCTCACCTCTTTCAAGTCTTTACTCAGTGAAGCCTTTGTTGTCCACCGTGCAGTCACATTCTTTCCAGCAGAGAGAACTCAATGGCGGGCTTTTAAAGAGAAAATTTAATAGATAAACTACTAGGTAAGTAGGAAGATGTGCTAGCCAGTGGGAACACTGAGGTACCACCGAGGTAGCAGCTGCAGGAAGTGGCTGCCCTCCCTGGGGCTGGAGAAAAAAGGAGATGACTGGGATGATAAACTTTAGAAGCTCGGAGGAGGAGCCTCGCATTGTCCTGATCTTTAAGGGGAGGGTGCTGGTGATTGGGGTGGGGTCTCTGAGCTTTGAGGAAGGATCCGCTGGGCCTGGGCACCTCTGAGGAGGAGCCACCAGCCGGCAGGAGCAAGGATGTGGTAAGACTGGTTCTGAAAGTGGTGGGAAAACACGAAAACGGGCTTCAGCTGCTTCAGACGAAACGCTCATCTGCTGCTGCGGTCAAGTGAGGCTGGAAGGACCCCGGTAGAACCCGGAAGTGAGCAGGAAGTGGAAAGTGCCTTCCTCCTCCTCCTGTCTTAGTTTTCTAGCGCCCCCTACAGACAGGGCTTTGCAAGGAAGCGGCTGAGCAGGGATGTGATTTATTTACCAAGTCCAGCTCCCACGTTACCAGGTCCCAACCAGCTGGGTGAGTCTGAAGCCGAGAAACAAATGCTTAATACTTAACGTAGCCATCCTTTCTAAAATGTCATTACCTTCCAACGTTACCTCTTTTGTGCCCTTTTATTTCCCTTCTTAGTACTTCTCATTTAATATATATTTCCCTTTTTTTGGTGTTTATTGTTTATCTGCTCTGTTAAAATAGAAGCTTCACAGTGGCAAGGATTTGTGTTCTCTGTTTAATGCTTTATCCAAACAGGAAAAATTCTTGACCTAAAGGTGGTCCTCCATATTCTGAATATTAATGTGAATAATAGCCAGCAACAGTCATATAGTAGTTATTATGTGCAAGGTTGTATTCCATGTACTTAACATGTGTTTAGCCCTGGAATAGAATTATGTACTAACTTACTATCTCCTTTATCTTATACATAAGGAAATTGATGCATAAAAATGTTAACTTAGGGGGAGATATAGCTCAAGTGGTAGAGCGCATGCTTAGCATGCAGGAGGTCCTGGGTTCAGTCCCCAGCACCTCCTCTGAAAAATAAATAAAACCAACTACCTCCCTCCCTTGCCAAAATAAAATAATTAAATAATACAGTAAATAAATTAAAAAAAAATCGTGAACTTGCCTTAGCTCACGGAACTAATGAGCTGGAGAGCCGGGATTGGAATCGAGGCAACTGGCTCTTAAGTCTTACCCACCAGGCAAAATTGAAAACACAAACGAAAATACTAGATGCACTTTCTCAATTATCCACACTTCACAAAGTCTAACTATAACCTCCCAAAGCATCACCTTATGTCAAGAGTCTGAACAGGCTTCATGATTAAGAAGAAGTATTGTCACTGGATTTATCATGAATATTCTTGCTTTAAAATGAAGGGTAAATACAAGTGGCGAAAAGTGTGCCCTTTGAAAGATGTCACCAACATTAATAAAAGCAAGTTTCTCAGGGATTAAATAGGCTCGCCAGAGTCAAAATTTCTTTGGAAGTAAGCCCTTGCTTTGTTTAGTAAAAGAATTCAACTCACAAGAGTAGAGCCTTTGTTAATGTCCTGTCAGATTGTTTGCATGTGACCAGTCTGCTCAGTGTGGTGCACAGAACACTTCTGAACCAAACCCCTATTTCTCTTGTGATTAATATTTTATTGGGCATTAATAAATACCAAAAAGTGCCTAAAAGGAGCACAGTGACGCTCATCTCTGCAGCCACGGAGGGAGATGATCTTTCTTGCTGTACAGCATAGACACACTCCGGTACTATTTATCTCGGAGTTTTCCCCTCAAGTTTTAAAACTGTCTTAGAACAAATAATTTTTAAAAGGACTGTGCATTTTATTAACCAAGTGGAGACCATAACTCCGTTTCAATTGACCTGGAATGCTTTTTAAAATCTGTTGGAAAGTGTTTGCATCCAAACTTCCCGACAAATCTGTGGGGCTCCTGTTCTGATCTTCATTGAAGGGAACTAAGGTAGATGTTGGTGGAGGGTGTGAAGCAGGTGTGAGGAGGGTGTGGCTGACTCGGGGGCCTTGCTCTTCACCTCTGCCTGTAGTCCTCAACCCAAGGGCCTAAGGCTAGAGGGTGGCGGAGAGAAATGGAACAGGGTCTCGTTTAAAATTCAGCGTGACGGCGTCTTTCGTCCTGTGTACCAAGAGATTCCATATTCCTAGTGTGAAAACATTGCCTTGTAGGTGGGGTGGTTCTGTGTTCTGGATCAAGGATGAGCAAGCTGTAGGGTGGGGGTGGGGTGTGCAATCTTGTTGATCCCCCCCGACCCACCGTGCTGCTTCTCAGGACGGCCAGCACAGTGAAGCAGGTCCCGCGTCCCCTGCCGAACACAGGGTGAGCCTTACCACCCACTCCCGTAAATTCACACGAGGTGGCAGTAATAATAAGACTTGCAATGACTAGTGTAATGGTAGCAGGACACCTGTGTGGGTGTGGCATCCTGAACAAGGCAGATGTTGCCTTGAAGAATCCCTTACTTACTCGCCCATCCTAAGCAGCAGCACCTGGGCTGGAAGAGCAGGTACACAGGCATGGGCATGGGTACACGGGGGTTGTGGGGGGGAAGTATTAAAACTCAAATTGTAGGGATAAAATGATATACTCTATAGAGCTGAACTTAGGGAAATGAATAGTCATTTAAAAAGTTAGTTTATAGTTAATAGAGGCTTGACTGTCCTTAGTCATCAGCTTTCTGTGGCCACTTCTGGTCCCTCCTCTCCAAGAGGCTGAGCTCACACTTCAGTGAGTTGAGTCTCGATTTTAGTTTAAATCAAAAGACTTCTGCCTTCAGCATCATCCCAGGGCTGTCGGTGCTGAGTTTGAATGATTTTTCACTCGAGTCTAGTTCTTAGTGTCTGAATCTGAAATGACTCAAAGCTCCCTTTACCTTGGACCTTGCTTGTCTCTGAAACGCTGCGTAACAGGCTGGATGCTTGTTTCACTTGTTCAGTGTGAGAAAGATGTGCCTCTTTGCCTCCCCGTCCGCTCCCTACCTATGTGAACTGCTCTGTACTGCATGCAGGTGTGTGTGTGTGTGTGTGTGTGTGTTTCCATATGTCCATCCTCTACCCACATGAGAGCCCTCTTGACAGGACAAAAGATGAGTTTACTTTGTCCTCCTTGCCTCGTTAGGATGATTCATAAGTATTGAACCTGCACTGAAAAGGGACTCCCCATTGTACAAAGTCATGACTTTAAATTTTCATTACAGTCCTTCGATATCAGTGTCCTGGGAGCAGCTCTGTGCTCACTCATTGAGACAATATTAAACGAGATAATTTTTCTTAAAATTTTAATTTTAGTAATATCGTGATGTTTTCAAAACTCCTAAGTAGTGCATTTAAAACAATTTCTTTCCCTAGGTACTTTTTAATAGATTTCATTAAGATTTGACTATTACCAGAAAAGCCAAAGACATTTAATAAAAATTTTCAGTTCCTATGTTTCATTGTTTCCGTCATCCATAGAATAATTGTTTTTTTTTAATGAAGTACAGTTAGTTACAATGTGTCCATTTCTGGTGTACAGCATAATGTTTCAGTCTTACATATACATACATATATTTGTTTTCATGTTCTTTTTCATTATAGGTTACTACAAGATATTGAATATAGTTCCCTGTGCTATACCAAAGTAATTTGTTTTTTAATCTATTTTATACACATAGAGTAATTCTTGTTTATATATAATATTTATACATATGTATATGTGTTTCTAATATGTATATATTACAGATGTGCATATGTACTAGAAATACGTCTACATATTAGAAATAATTGTGAATGTTTGAACTTCTTTTTGCAGATGGGACATTTCATACTCAGGAATTGGGGCTTCTGAGCTGGCTTCTGTTGATGACAGCGTGTGGACAAGCATCAGCTTTCTGCAACTGGTGTTCCTCTTTGAGCGACGATGTGGTAAGTTAGACAATGTTTGTGGTTTATTTTGCATCCAGTATACTTTTTCTTTAAGAAAGGAGGACTGCAAAAGTTAGAATGGCTTACTTAATTTTGATGACAATGAATTTCCTTTGAAGTATTTCTTTTGAATCTTACGATGTTGGCCTTTGATAGAATAGTTGCTGTTTGTGGTTTTTTGGTCCTCATGTGTGGCTGTTTTATTAGCTGCCTTCCACTGGCTGTTTCAAGTCAGGCATTGAATCGCATGACTAGTACATGATATCTGTTGTGATTTTCTTGAAATTCGGAGGGTTTAACCTCCCCATGAAGTACTTGGTGCAGTCCATTGCTAGGAGGTGCATTTAAGTAATAAGAATGTGAAATGGTCTCATGAATTTATGTGCCTAACTTTTCCTAGAAAGGAAGATGTTGGCTGTAAAGGAGAATCATCTCCAAGTCTGTTGACAGAACTGATTTGCATTGTCTGATAGAAAACAAACTAAAAAGTGTGAATTTCTGGTTAATGTTCATTAAGATTTCTAACATGGTATTGGGAGCCTCCAATACAATCTATTTTCACAACAAACTTAGCAGTCTACTTGGTCTACAATCTCCTCCCATAGGAGGCTGCGTTTATAGGCCTTCTGCATACATTACAGGATGGATTTCCATTCCTTGTTATAATTGTGAAGCTAAGGAAAATACTCTGTAGCAGAACATTTTTGTTAACGTTTTAGAATCTGATAAGCTTGAACCTTTAAATTAATGTTTGAGTGAACTTCAGTCTGTTCTCTTAAATTCTGTTTGGTACATTACATATTTATTGAGACCAACAAAGCTTGTCTCTGTTGAAGGCAGGAGCTGCAAAAAAAAAAAAAATTGGGGAAAAACATGTTCAGTTTTACTGAAGATATTTTCTTCTGAATTTGGCCTTTGGGGTAGATAAAATGTGATGCTTTCAAAAACCTGATATGTCTTATTTATTTTCATAATATTTGGAATAATTCATACATGGCAAAACATATTTGGACAACTCGATAGGAGACAAATAACCTGTCAAGACGGTGAATGTGGAAGCCTTGCAAACATTTCAGGAAGTCTTGCGGCCGTTGGGGAATAATTGTGCCCATGTAACTTGTGATCGAGGGTATCAGTCCAAAAAGACGTCATGATGAAATACAGCCTACTCTTCAGTAGGTGACTGGCTATTTTATGTTGCTATGGCTGGTTCTCTGCCTTACCTCCAGTGCTATGTGGGTAGACAGTTTCTTCAATGAACCAGGAAGTATAAACTGGAAATATACTGAGCAAATTGTTTAAGGTGTCTCGTTCCAGAGAAATAATAATGCCTCTGTTAATATTTTACAGCTTCATGCTAATGAGGAAATTCTTCAGCTAGCAGGAGAGCAATTTAGGCCACAAAGCAGAGGTGGCTTTGTAACTCGGAGAAGACATGAACACTGAAATCTTGGCTGGGATGTTGTGGGCCTTTTTGGCGTTTGCCGTCTCTGCTAATAAGGTGTCCCGCTTAGTTACTGATCTACTTGGCCCTCGAAGGCTTGAGGCTTGATTTTTTCAAAACCTGAAAATCTTCCTTAGTTGAAGGAGAGATGGGATGAGGCAGAGGAACATTAAAGGAAACAGTGCAGATGAGGTCTGTTAGCCATGATCAAAAGCAGAGTGCGAGGAAATGCTGAGCAGAAAGAGGAGGGTTACCCTTTGCTAACTCAGGCTAATGATTTTTTTCCTTTAGATTCAACTAAGGATCTTACCTCAAAGCCCCAGGGTGGGAGGTTTTTTTTTTCGTTCTTGTTTTGGTTTTAAATTTCACCCTCAGAATGAAGTTTCTAAAACACACTAACAATGTGGAAAGAACGAGCAGTGCATTAGATTGCGCAAGGGCTGAGCATCTTTTCCGGGCCGGGCCCCTCACTCGCTATGTGACTTCAGCAGGATTAACATCATCCTGCCTGAAATGAGACCGTGGCCAGTGGGTTTCCTTAAGCTGTAACGTGATTTCACATTTCTTTGGAATTAGATCACCCTATTAACGGTGTTAAAACGTCTTTTCTGTCTGGAGGGTTCATTGACTGCTGCTTGCCTGGTTTAGCAACGTTATGCGGGATCGCCATACTTGCCATTTCAGCAAATAGGTCTTGTTTTATTGAATGGGTAGTAACTCTTCAGCAGTTCCTCCTGGACTTATGAGCCATGGAACCGATGTGCCTGCCTTTGGACACACTTCGTGTGAAATGCAAATGTTGCTGTTTTCCCACCAACTGTTATGTTCTAATCATGACCTTGAGGAGAATTAACGTGATACCATTTTTACATGCTGGATTTTGACCTTGAAAGGACCTACACAAAAAGGATTTGCTCCATTTCTCCAGGACGCTTTGAATATTCTATACGCACCCCCCCCCCAGCAAGAAATCATCTTAGGAGATCTGTTAGTAACTAAGTTGCACAGAAATTTATACAACGCAACTGAATTTTTGGTAAGAGATTTGCATATTAACAATTGACGAGATATAAAGATAGAAGAGCTTGTAGAAAAGTCTAATATGTGAAACAGAAGATTGATACTCTGCGAAGCCATTAAATTAAATTTGCTTCTGCTTAGAAATTTTTTGTATATTGGTTATTGTCATTTTAGGATACTGACAAACTTGATGACAGTGATTTTTCAAACTTGGATACATGTAGCTCTGAGGGTAGGTTGAAATTTTGAAAGGGTCCATGAGCAAGGATAATTTTAAGGGAATACATTTTCGGATCTACTTCATACTTGATGTCACACACACACACACACAACACCCTAATATAAACTCATATGAAGAGTAAGTCTTTTATTCTCTTTATATACCAGAAGAGATTGTTGCTTTATTCTGTTACTGTTCTCTGAGATGTCATTAGAGGCCATTCATATTAAAATAGGCAAAAAGGTATAGGATAGCCAGTGCGTAACTTAGTTTATCATTAATGTATTATTTGACACACTTAGCGTAGATCTGGAGGACATTTGGTAGAGCATCTAGCTTCTGGGAATTAAGTCATCTTCATGGCAAAGCATGACATTAGATAAGAAAAGTCATCGTGAAGAACCTTGCTCAGTTTATTGTGTGATTAAGAGCAAATTTTGACCATGTTATTGTAAAAGCTAGTGTTTTGTGATTTCCTTTCTTCCTATGTCTGCTATCCTGAATGAAAGACAGTCACTAAGCAAAACAGAGGTTTTGATATTGCCTTGGTTTGCTACTTTGGTGCAGAAATCATCTTAAGGGTGATTGTCCTCCAGTCCTTTCCTTGGAGGCCTGACATACATGCCCCTCGGGTCAGGGTAGGTGACAGGATGACCACCTTGGTGTACGGAGCCAGAGGGAGCTATTCAAGTAGGTCCCAAAGAGGGGATGGATGTCAGAGGAGTGTGGGTGCCCGGTGATAGAACAAGGCAGGTTTGGTCAGTATTGGGAGCTGAGATTTAAAGTCTGAGAGATTGACAAGACTAAGGAAAAGCCACTGACAGCAGGAGCTGGGAAAGGTGTTCACAGAGGACAAGAAGCGTGGCCGTCTGAGCAAGTATCACACCCAGCTTCCCACAGCCTGCTAACTCGGGTGCCCAGGGACCTGTATCACTGTTGACCTCCGTCCATTTAATGGGTCCTGAATGGGGTGGGCAGCTGTCTTGAGGAAACGTTCTTCTGAACATCTAAAAGCCAGATGTGTTAGGTTGTTTTTTCATAGAGGAGTGACTTGTTAACAAGAGTGATGTACCTCGGTGACACTGGATGGTTCATGTTGCTGTCTTCAAGTTCAGTAATCTTCTCTTCCACATGTACAATTTGACATTAATCCCCTCCAGTTGTTTCTCATCTCACATAATACACTGTTCATCTCTAGAAGTCCACTTTGGGTATTTTTTTTTATGTCACTACCTAATTTGTCAACCATTTAAAATAGTTACTGTTTTAATGTCTGTATGTACTAACCCTAACATCTGTGTCATTCTCGGTCTGCTTCGATTGATTGCCCTGCTCCCCCTGGATCATGTCTGCTTGCTTCTTTGCATGTCTGGTAATACTTGACTGGATTCCAAACATTGTGACTTTGATACTGTTGGGTGTTGGAAACAGGTTTGTTCTTGGACACAGTTAAGTTACTTGGAAGCAGTTTGCACTGTTGGGGTCTGGCTTTTAAGAAGGGTTAGGAGGGAGCTGTTCTTAGTCTAGCACTGACTTTTCTTAGTACTGTATCCAATGTCCTGCACAGTCTCAGTTTTCAACATGGTTGGTGAGAATAGGCGTCATTCCAGGCTGTGTGAGCAGTGAGCACTTTACCTTGAATCTTCTCATTTGGCTCTTTCTCTGATTCAAGCACTTTCTTCCCGGGGATGCACTGGCCATAACTTTGCTGAATACCTGAAGGTGTTGCCAGTGGATCCCTGGAGTCTCCATGTCGTAGCTCTCATAGCTGTTTCTGCAGTCTCTAGCCATTTTGGTTTCCTAGGACTCTCAGCTCCATTGCCTCAACGCTTGAACTTTTCCAGAGGGTTCTTGAAAAGAACTTGAGTAATTGGCTTTGCTTAGTTTGGTCCCTGTGCCATCGCTTTAAAACATTTCAGGTGGATCAGAATCATTTGGAACAGAGCTGAGTTGCCCCAGTCACCAAGTCCAGACAATGAGAACAGAGCTGTTTGGTGTTCGTGAGCTGAGTCCAGATCCAGTAAACAGTTACTGCTCAGCATCACGTGGTGCATGGTTATGGAGTGGGTGGCTTGGGCGCATCACTGTCGCTATCAATTACTGATGCATGTGCGAGAGGAAAAAAAAGTATTTAATTGTGGTAAAATGCTGTGGCCAAAGTGACTGGTGGTGCAGAATTCAATTCCCATTGCACTTTTTGGGAAGTTTGAGATGATATCAACTGTTGGGATTTAAGAGAAAAAAAGATGGCATAACTATTGTGAAAATAAGTGAAGATCTAATCTTTGTCCTTCAGGAGTGCATCGACTCTTACATTTC